GTAGTAAGGCACTTGTTACTAGTAGCGATGCACTTGTTTCTACTAGCTTCTTGTTACTAGAAGAATGCTCAGTGACTCAAAAGGTTGTTTTGAGAACCTCGAGTGCCCATCTTCCTTGATCCGCAATCTCATTTCAGCCGAATCAAATCTCCAGCCTCGTGTAAACCTCAGGACGCGAGTGACGTGAGCCAGAAAGCTTTCACAACTTGACAATGCAGCTGAAGGAAGCGTCAGAAACTGTCTTTCTTGAACCTCAAGGATAAATAAATCTGAGCTAGAGACCTCCGCGACGCTGAAGTTTTCTGTCTCTGCTGGCACCAGGCTGAAATCCACTCCTTTGCAAAAGGGCTTGTGACAACTTGTGTAGATGTACGGTATACACTGGACTCAAATCGGGTTTGCAAAAGTCGAGAACCGAGAGCCAAAGTTTGGTCACAGCCGCCTGGCTCGGCCTCTTCAAGGAGAATCCTTCCTAGATCAAACGCCACAGGAAAAGCAAAGCACCCGTTGACCCGCAATCTGTGCAATGTTTCGACTTAACATCACCTGCAAAATACTGTACATCCTTTGGTTCCAGAGAAGCACAAGAAAGTTGTGACTCACTACACTCCCCTGAATGTTTGCAAACTTTCCCGCACAGCTGCCTGCACCAGACAAGTAAACATTGAAGCCTGTGCACAGTCTTGAACAAATGGCAAAGCAGCAGCATTGCAAATATTGCCATGACTAAGTCTCAGAATGAAATCAAACAACACATTCAATGGCTTGTTTGTGACTCGCTGTTTTTCGTGGCCAGATCCCGGTCCTGCCACTGCAGAGGTCTCTGTAATCTGCCAGCCTGCGAAAAAGACGAGCTGAGATTCCGAAGCTCGGGTGCCCTTATTTGCGAAGATCGCCCCTCAACAGTATCCCGTGAAAGTGCCACCATGTGGACCACAAACCCTGCGCTGTCATCAAACTGGTTGATATAGCTTTCTTTGAGTTTCATCAAACTGGTTGATATAGCTCTCTTCAGCCTACTGCACGTTTTTCAAAGCTCTGTCTGGGCCGTTCACTGATGTTTCCACCGATTTCTCCAGCATCCAAATCCTGGCCACCGTTCCGTTCAATCATTTCTTACTCATGTTACTAGTAGCGTTCTTGCTCCTAGTAGCAAGGCCAGGAGCCCCTAGTAGCGTCCTCGCTCCTAGTAGCGATGCTCTTTGCTCCTAGTAGCGTTCTTGCTCCTACCCCCACCAAATCACCAACAGCTAATTATATGGATGGCGTCTCTTGATTGTTGCCCACGGTATATACTGCCCAATGACCAGATTAATTAGTTAACTTTGGGACTCTCGCCTGGTCAATGAAGTTCACCGCGGAGACACTGGCATCAGCATCCTGGCCGTTCACAGGTCAGCCTGATCCGTTCAAGCCAGAAACATGATGTTGAAAACGATGCTCCGCATGCCAATCTTGAACCCCCATTCCCTCGGATGAGAATCCTGATGGATTGGAGAGATTGGCATGAACCTGAAAGAATGCTACTGTGGATCGTGTGGAAGGGAAATCTATATACAGTATAAACTAACGGCAGTTATTAGCCAGTGCATTTCGTGAAGGTATCTCGCTCGCATTTTTAAAAAGTCTGGCTGTTTGCATTTGTGAAAGAAAGCCCTGCTGTCCGTGAAAGTGAAGCTGGCAGGGGAGCTTTGCTCAAGCAAGGATGACCTGACAAAGCTGTACAACTGCCACCGTAAACCCTGAAAGAGCTGAACCTTGCGCTTCTATAATGCTCATGTTCCAGGAGCACTCTGCGCGTGTTGCTGGACTCGCATCAAACTCATTCGCCGCAACTCATCTCTGTTTAGTGCCTTGTAAAGATCTGAAGCTCTGTGGCTTCATTGGTTGCTGTGTCCGGAGGCACCACTGCTTCGGCAAACCTTTGCAGAGGAAGAACTACCGTCACAAACTGACAAAAATATATATAAATGATATGATATGATGTGTGCTTCTACTTATGTTTCTATTTGATAAAAGCCTTTTGATCAAATTTGTCGAATCAACGAACCTCGTCATCGACATCGGCACCACTCTAAGGCATACGCCCAACCGACACAGAGTCGATGGGAGTGCCTCAAAAGCTATTGTTTTGGCTTGAAAAAGTATGGCGTTTTGTGGTTCTTTAAAAGTTGGGAACTCCACAAATTCTCAGGGCAGGGAATGCGAGCGGCCTGACTCTCGGCTTACCAGCGACATCTAGGGTTCAAAACTTCCAGACATCGCCCGAGGCAGAGACTTGCATTGGCCATGTACAGCACGTACTGCGAGACTATGGCCACGTCGCCCTGGCAACAGCTTGACATGATCACACTTGTTGATCACACTTGGGTTAGCTCTGTCTATGGGAATTCTTTTTCACCTTCTCAAGTCTCAAGTATTACATATTGTATCATGTTTACTGCCTCTGCGTGCGGCATACCCATCCAAAGAGCGTCCAGTGTGCCTGCTCTTGCCAAGTGATGTTGCCACCCAGCTCTCCAGCGTCTAAATCCAGGTCTGTGAATGCCACCTCAGGCTGCCAGAGAACTTCGAGGACCATTGGAAGTCATCGAACAGTCCTCTTTGTATCCGGCCTTCAGTCTGTCCAACACCATCTAGACCAAGGCTTTTACTTTTGTACCTTTTCTGCTGCTCTTCCACGTCCGCTTTCTGCCACGGGACACTTCCCACAGTTGCAGAAGCATCGTAGAACTCCAAACTGCTGGGTGTGGTCTGCTCAGCAAAGCTAGACCTCCACACGTAAATGACTCACAGCGTTAGCAAAGACTCCGCTGCACTAAAATTGCGAGTCTGCGCACTTAAGGCCAAATGCCTCACGTATACCAGCAAATGGGTGAAGGCGCCGGCAGCTGTGCTGTCAGGTACAAGCAGCTGGTTGGTCCCCACCTCAAGTTGTCAGCAGTGTGAAATATGCTGCGAGTCGCAATCTTTGTAGATTGAACGGTCCATTGGATACTAAGTTCTAGTCAAATATAAATGGCAGTGTGAGCTCTTCCACTCTAATGAATCTGGGACATAGGCAGGGGCGGTGCCCACATATTGCGAAGAGCCAAAGCCATTGCTGGTGTTGGTGGCTAGGTACACCACATAGTCAGTGACCTCAAAAGTTACCATTCTCTCCATGTCTTTCAAGGCCACAAAGAGCCACATTTGCAACAGCCAGGGCGTGCTTAGGTCCCAGCCAAGGATGAGTTGGAGCCCACCCACGAGAAGAGCCCACCCAACTCTTGCTGATCCAAGTCCTGATGGACAGGCATCAGAAACTCTTCAAGCTGTGTACTTCATTCATGTTGCATTTGAATGTGCACTCCTTCAAAGATATGATTGTTAAGGTGCAATGTGCACTTAGCGTCATCTTCCCAACTGACCACAAACTATCATTGGCCGATAAATAGCGAGCCTTTTGGATCCTTTTGGACTGCCTTCCTTCTAAATGCAGTCAACAGGTGTTTTACAATTCCATGTGATACATAATGCGGCAGGCAAAACCGGTAGAACCGTAAGCCTGATCAGCAAAATATGTTGTTTTTGCGTAATATACACTCCTCGTCTTGAAAGTTGAGATCAGTCACGCCCAGCGAGATATCTGAGATCCTTGGCGGTTTTGGATCTCTCTGCAAAACCGGCTAGGCCCTAGAGGTCGATGCTTCTGCAGAACTCTATGAGTTCAGTTTTTCTCATCAAAAGCTACGCCCTGTCGATTGCCGTAAACCAATGGCAATGGCCTCCACCCTACTAGCGATGGCCTCCAACCTACCCCTTTCGGGCTAAATTGTTAAACAAGAAAGCATTCTCCCCTGAATCACCCCATTCGCTCTGGTGACGAGCTGCCCGATGCTGCTGGGTGTGCTTTGTTCGAAGAGAGACTTTGCGGAAGCCAAGACCTTGAGGGACAACTGAAAGATTTGTTTGAATGTTTTCTGTAGAAAGTAGTGCTTTCTCTTTGTCTTTGAGGCCTTCAGACCTTCTCTTTCCTTCTTCCCTCTTTGCTCCCTTTGGACTACTGTTTAGTATATGATATTGTCATATCACGTTTCAGAAGTATTTATGTGCATTTTGTTTGGCATTCCGCTGGCATGTGCTCTGGAAGGTTCTGCAAATCATCCAGAGAGAAAAAGGGTCTGGCTGGAAGTTTTGCGAATGATGCTGTCAGACTGTGTTGGGGCAAACTATATCACCTTCACTTCAAAAAACAAACTTCCCAAGAAATCTTGACGACAATGGAGACCAGCAGTTCCAAACCGAATATGGAGTCTAGCCCTTTGTCGCAAACATGCTGAAAGCCCTTGCGCTGCTGACCAACCCCACTTGCAACCCTTTCGGTACTCTTGAGGCACTAGCGTACTGAAAACCATTCAAGGCTGTGTCCGACGGCAAATCTACCTGCACAGGCAATGCAGTGTCAGGAGTCAGGTGCGCTAAAAAGTTGAGATATGGCAGTGTATCAACACCTGGGACCTGGAGCTCAAAACTGATGATTCTTCCCAAACGCATTGCATCTCCGACGCTTGGGTTCTCGTCTAGTCTGCTAGCCGCAAATCGAGCGAGCATTGGATGCGGACGACGCGGATGACCACGCGGTGCTGCTGTGGAGCTGCTGTTCTGCAGCTGTATGTGGTCCAGCGGGGGGGACGCTGCGGATGACCCCGAGCGTTGGATGCGGATGCTGCGGATGACCACGCGGTGCTGCTGTGGAGCTGCTTTTCTGCAACTGTATGTGGTCCAGCAGGGGGGTGCGAGCATTGGATGCGGACGCTGCGTGATCAATATCTTGTGGTTTTTGCTTTTGGGTTCCCGGGCTCACCTTGTTTGTGTTCATTGTCTTTTGACCCACTGCCATATCAAGACTCATAGGGTGGAGCGAAGTAGTGCAGCAACATCAATGTGGTAAGGTCAAACGCTTGGTGAGCTCAGACCTACATGATTGAAGGTCTCCTTGGTATGACACATGTACGAGCCCTTCTTCTGACTCTAGACCACCTCAGCAACTGCATAGGCCTAACTAGCAGGGATCTGGCCACCCCCCAGTCTATGGCCGAACAAAATGTTTATCCAGCAATGTAAGCCTCTGGGCAGTGCTTTTTGTACCTTCTGAAACTCATTTTGCTTACTTTATGCAGGATGCCTGCCACTCTCCGAGCACTGCCTCCGACGAGTTTTGTGGGATGTCGCCCGCAATTTGAGATCGACCGGTACCAAGTTGGTCGACTGACAAGTACCTCTGACAGCGAGGCTTGGTGGCCAAGAGGAATTGGGAACACTGTTGCAGTTACTGATATCGTGGCAAATGTCTTCCCAAATTCAACATTGTGGTCCTGGGTCTCCTGACACTCTGTAGACATCCACCAGATTTACATCACCTGCACATGAACAGCTCATGCCAACAGCTGGGCCTCGTCTAGTGGAAGCTTGCACCACCATTTGCATACCATACTCGTACAAATATTTGCACTAGTTGCTCCGGTGTACGTCAATAGATGTGAACTCAACAGTTTGCATGTGTCCATACATCCTGGATCATCCCAAATGTTGAGCTTCCAGGCAAAACCCAGCCTGAAGAAGAAAAGTACACAGTTCCACCCAGCTCATCTGCATCAAAATCTTGGTCTGTGAAGCTTACGGACATCGACACCACACCATCGCCTCAGTTGTCTCCTTCCCCCTTCCCTCTGAAACCAGAAAAAAGTGAAAACTGAAAACAAAAAAACGGGATTAAATCATTCATGGTCAGCATTGAAGTTCAAACATACTTGTCTGGTGCACTTAGTGCGCTTGTTGTTCGTACATGCCTCTTAGGCGCCACCTCGAAAGAATTAAAGAATTGAGAATTGCATCGCAAAAACAGCACTCCACACACAGCCTCCCCCTGTACCGTGTATGTGAGCCCGGACGCAAGTATCGTTGGAGGTTTAAAGTGCTGGGAGGGAAGACACAATGCGTCACGATGATACATGTAAAGTGGCGTGCATAATGTGAAGGTGGAAGGATGAAGGTGTTAGAAGCAGGGTGTGCACTACACTATATTGCTATGCTGCTCAACTCCCTTTGTCATAACACAGGATTTCTCATTTGCTGCCAACACTGTCCTTGCTTGGGTTTCCACTTTCTATTGTTGCTGCTACTGGTGTGTGTGTGTGTTGCAAAGACTTCGATGGTCAATCGTGAGTCATTCAAGCTACCCGAGAACCTTCCCGCGAACGGACAAGAAAAAGGTGAAGGTCTCGTCAGCTTAACTCAAACCGCAAGAATAGCTTTTAGACTCTTATCATTTATCATGCAATGTTTCAAGCTGCGAGAAAGCCCAACCAGCAAAGGGTCCAGATCGTGACACCAAGTTGCTCATTTGGATAGCTTCAGGAGTGCTCTGTTCGCCTGCCGCCTGGGTTCATGATAGACCGACGGACCATGCTAAGAAGGGGGTTGGATGGACCTCAAGTTGAAATGAAGCTGGGTTACAGATTTGGTGTACAAAAGGAGGTACGGCAATGTCTGATCTTGTGGAACGAGAAATGTCCTGGCGCAGGGCCACAATACTTTTGGAACTGCCACCTCTCTCTCTCTCTCTATTTCTCTCAACCTCTCTCTTGCTGGCATCTTCTCAGAGTCTGCTATGATTCTCTTGGGGATGATCTGCTTTGATTTCTTCCATCACTGTACATCTCTGTACTTACTGTAAGCTTGAGTTCTCCGACCAAAGTAATGGCATCTTTCGCCTGTCTGGCCTGTCCTGTTCTCTGCGGGCAACTCACCAGAGACATCCACACGCCCAGTGCCGTTCCAGGATTCTCCCACATACACAACCTCAGCTCCACACAACACACAAGGAAGAGATCTAAAAACAGTTGAACTAAAATCTAAATGACTTTCTGGTTTCATGAAACTCCCAATCTCACTCGGCCACGAAAGGATACCGAGGTTGACCAAGGTTGACCGAGGTCCTGGTTCAGCAAATTCTCCTCTCCCAAAGCTCAGCCTCCAGACGTAGTGCTCGACAAAGGAAACATCTTGTGGGTCTGGCCATTCCAGTACGCCTCCGAAGTGTTCCGGATCCAAATCCTGGTGGCTCGGCGGTTGGCTCAATGGCAACACCAACAGCCCAACACAAATCTTACTGCATTGGCCAGCCGGCGAAACAATTCCTTCCTGTCAAGCTCTTAGGCGCATGTCGGACCAGAAAGTCAGATTGCTTTACCACTCCCAACCTCGTCTGTAAAGTTGAGGTAGTCGAAAAGTGTTGCCTTGTGGGAATCAACGCCAACAAGAACAGGGAGAATCGAGCATCGAGCAAAGACTCACGAGCATTGCAGTATACAAATGATTTACTGCATCAATAAACGTCTGTTCACATCAATTCATCAAGGCTGTAAACGCAACCACGGCACCGTGTCACTGATGGTAATCTGTTGTGCAGTGCTTTGCTCTACAAAGCTGGATTTCACATAGACACGAATCTGGGTGTAGCTTCCCTGTGCAGGCGCGAGCAAGTCGTGAGTGCCATCACTTCTTTGTGACTGCCATCGCAGAATCCCAGGCCTTTGGAGTGTCCGTGGCAACGCTCAACTGTGTCACACCTCCAACTGCCACATCTTGAGAGACCTAGCACAAAACATCACATAGCTTCATATTGACAAATTGACACATGTTGCATAGCATAGTAACACAACATATCTCATATCACCATACAATAGCATGTACCATGTAGTGCCATGTAGCCTCAAGTTGAAGCGAAAAGAATCTGTCCCAGCCGAGTCCACCTGAGATCGATTCCCCGTGTACTCGTCCGCCAAGTAAGCTGCATAATGAGTCACCAAGGTCACCTGGCTACCCGGGTAGGATCTGAAAGGGCACCACGACAAAGACTCAACGATAAAATACTGTAATAGCAATATATAGCCATGGCCTAATAGCTTCGAACCTAATAGCGATGGCTTCCAACCTGAAGAGTATCGCACATGGCTGGCATCGTTGAGAATAGGTGGCATCATGTGGGTACCGCTATGCCACTGTGCCTCATGAGTTGTTCAAGGTGTTACCGATTGTATATATACCTACACCAAGCTTCAGTAATACCACCTCAGACCTGTAAACTCTAGGTCTAACACACTGTTTGGACTCTTTGGAAAAATGAACTGAAGAAACAAAAAGAAAAACCCAGGGGAAGGGGTCTGAATGTGTGTTTCAAGTGCACAGTATGGTCAAGTTCACAGAGTGCACAAGATGATCAAGTTCACTGTGAATTGGATGAAGTCTGCCAGTGTTCTCACTTCTAGTGGGTGTGAGACGGATCAAGCCATCAAACTTTGACATGATGTTTTGTTGCAAAGGTCTGACATGAAGTTCCCTAAGCAAAAATGTATATATGAAAATCCGTTTGAGGTGACTCCAAAACTAGGTATAGAGGGTCTAACATATTTCCGTCAGGTCTACAATCAGTGGCGACACGCTCCAGCACCCCATGGTGCACTGATTTCAGACCGTATGGGGATGGCATTTTGTGGCGTATGGGCAGGCTTGGGTGGTTACAGTCATAGTTGCGGTCATGAAGCTCAAACGGCCTCTCATGCTGCTCTGTTACAGTCTTTATGTTGAACTGGAAGGAAGGGACTATCTGCAGAGCATGCGGCAGCTTGGAAATTGGCACTAAAGCTCCTAAAGTTTCATGTGCTTCCATATGCGCCGCTTCAACCCTGATCGCTCCAAATCCATGTCAGCATGGCATCTGCTGGTGGTGTCCAAGAGATTGTACCAGCTATGTCACCCTGTGGCAGGGAAAACTCAGAAAAGTTGGGCTGCGTCTTTTTGATCAGTCAAACACAGCCCAAAGCATTTCCATTGATCACAGCCTTTTCTACTTGCTAAAGAAAACGACACTGGACACGTTTGGCCAAATCAATCCTCAAATCAAACAGACCGCAGAGTCCATATGTGGTGTTTCTGCCAACCACCCCCGCCATGTCCACGTCGAAATCGGTGAAGGCCACAGCAGAAACGGAAGCACTTTGGTCCACTATGACCTTCGAGGTCATGAAAGTCACATGTGCAACCCACATGTCCAGCCAATGGCACGACGTGGCTTTACGGTGCATTTCTCTGAAACTGTCACGACCGACTTGCAGTGGCCGGGCCTGAAACGCCGGAGTTGTCTGCTCCACCAGGGTCGATCGACTGTAGACCAGCAAGTAGTTGGAGAAGCCCTGTGAAACGAAACAAACCCAAGACGTGCAGACTGGTGGTAAAGGGGAGCTGGAAGAGTGCCGAGGCAAACGAACGAAATCGAAAAGTAAGTAGCAAATCCTGGCTTTTGTACCTTGACTAAAACCCTTCACCTAGCGCGCGCGACTTTGCCTGGGCAGTGTCCGCGGACAGGACCAGTTGGGTGTTCAGCACAGCAACCGGGCTCTCCACCTGAGACCTCAAAAGACAACATGCCAGAGCTCATTGTAAGACAAACTCGGCTTTCAAGAATGTCCACTATTCGAGACGCTCAAAAGCCGGAACTTTAAACAATCGGTGTTCAACTGTTCAACACAATGAGGGCCACTTTTTACCCACTTTGCACAAGTTGAGAAAGCCTTTGCACAACACAAGCTCACTAGGAAATACCGATCAGTTGAACAGGGTTACCTGTTGATACGAGTAGTAGACGGTAGGACCTTGGCAAGTGAAGAGCATTTTGGAGTCAAATTTGTGCCAGGGAAATGCTTCCTCCATCAAAGAAGGAGGCCTCTGTCAGGAAGAATGTTCAAGAAAGGGTGTGCTACATTTTCAGTGTACAAACAACAATGCTTTCACTCACACACGGGTAACAACATAACATATTCACAGGTGAGCATGTTCCTTGGCCCAAAGAAAGCATCGATGCAAGAGAGATGTCAATGCAGATTGGGCTCGATGTTGACTGCAGGCTACTAGGTGTTTGTGGAGTTTAGACTTTGTGAGTTGCTGTGCTCCAGCAAGCATCTGCAAGCTGTGAAGATAGAAATTTTACTGCTATGCAACCGGGCAAGTGACTTCCTGAACGATCGAACAAGAAGGAATACATACGGACAAATATGTTAAATTTAACAAGTTAGTTATGGTCCTTTTGACAGTGCATGCAAAGTACATGTCCTACACATCCGCTTTTGTGTAGTGTAAGAATGCCTTTGAGTCTTGCATGGCTATGCTGATCTATTGTTGTTGCTCAACTAGAAGCTCAACGTTGATGTTTCTGAAAAAAGAACATGTCCCAACGGCAACTATAGAACTACATGAGAGATTCCCAACATTCTCCCATCAAGCCTGGGTGCTTTAATGACCTTTGTCACTCTCTTTCGCAAAAGTACTTGAGCCCTCGTCTCTTAGAAACAAGCCAGACCTTACGTAACCATGTTCCAGCTTCCTCTACAACGCTCAAAAGGGTGTTTCTTTCTCTCTCACTCTCTCTCTCTCTCTCTCACTCTCTCTCTCTCTCTCTCATTCTCTCTTCAATGGTCTTGAGGTACCCGACCGATTCTCACCTGCGTCGGACAAGCCCAGGTAGACATCATAGAATGCAACCTCCACATCTTGGGTTTCTCAAGCACACATTATCTGACATACGCAGCAATTAGTTTCAGAGGTTGACAAATGAGGAAATTTCTGCACATAATTTCAGGAAACAACTGGAATGGAAGAGCGAAACGCAGAGCATAGTATGAATTGCACAGCAAGACAGTTAGGAACTATACAAGACTACAGCCCCATGGGTCTGGCCATGAAAATCCCAATGCATCTATATACCTGGGATGTATCGAAGGGCTCGTTCCAGGTCACAATGCCTCCAATCCTGAGCCACTTGTGTCACAGTGGACGTGGAAAGAGGAGAATCCATGATTAACTTTGTTCGCTTCGTTCACTTCGTTCGATAAAGAACCACTTTGTTCAAGTGATTTCCTATTGGCACCGAAATCTGAGAACCCCGTGCTCGAGTGGATCCAAGTCCAAGTCCGTGAACGACACAGAATCCACGCGAGCCTGGCTGAACCGAGCCATCGAGGCTGAAAGTTGAAAAAAGAAGTAAATACGTAAAACCAAAAAATAAAAACAAAGTAGGTTGTTTGTTATTAGTAGTAATGCACGGAGCTACTAGTAGCGTCCTTGGGACATCGCCTCACTTGCGCACGCAACATTCGCTCAGCTGTCCACACAGCATTTCTTGATACAACTAACTCACCTGCGCACACAGGATTCGCTCACCTGTACACACATCGATTACAACCTTGTTCAAAACTGTGCCTGGTACCTGTTTGTATCAAACACGCTATTCACATTGCGACGTGTTTACAACCAACAAACAAGGAGCACCCTTTCCAACAACGTCTCGTAATCAACTGGCCGCGGTCTTCACCTGACCTGGACTCACGGAAACCTTGGGCCCGGGGGTCCAGATGTCTTATTTGGCCAGATCCTGCGCTCACAGATCCTCTTCGACGGACGACAAAGTCTGCAACGGAGAGATTCAGATACCGCAGAGGCCGCCATAAGATGAAAAACGTCCACATTGGTTGACCTCTGAAGCAACACGGCGAAACATTGGACGATCGGCCACTCCTCTCCACTTGTCTGGTTGGACATGTCCAACACAGCATGGAGTTCGCAGGCCAAAGCTTGTCCTGGCCTCCAAATTGCTCCTAAACACTGCAGTTAGGCACTGGCAGGTCCTGTGCTCAGCCACTCCCAAAGCTGCCAAGCGCTGACCTTGCTTTTCCCCTTAGGCTTCTGAACTGCCACAACAGCATCTAGCTCTGCTACAACCTGCGCTGCAAGCTCTGGCTGCTCTGCCACCAACTCTGCTGCAACTGCCTCCTGGTCATCATCCAACTCTGCCTCTGGAACTGCCTGGTCCTGAAGCGCTGGGGCATCCAGCTCTGCCACTGAAGCTGCCCGCTCCTCAACCGCTGCAGGGTCTTGAAGTGGGGCATCCAGCTCTGCCTCTGAAACTGCCTGCCCCTCAACCGCTGCAAGCTCTGCCTCTGCATTTGGCTCTGCAAGGCCACATGGCTAAAGGTTGGGGGCGTGAATGTGAATGTGAAGCACTTGCAGTACACTCATCATTTCATTCATTGCATCTTCATGTCTACATGCGTTCCTTTGTTCCTTCCTCCCTCCCTCCCTCCCTTCCTTCCTTCCTTCCTTCACTCAGTCATTCATATCATTCATTCATATCATTCATACCATTCATTCATTCATTCATTCATTCACTCACTCACTCATTCATTAATTCAATCATTCGTTCTTTCGTTCTTTCATTCTTTCATTCTTTCATTTCATTTCAGTTCATTCCGTTCCGTTTCGTTTCATTTCATTTCAGTCCATTCCCATTCCAGTTCCAATTCCATTCATTCATCCATTCATTCATTCATTCCAACCAACCAACCAACCAACCAGTCAGTCATTCAGTCATTCATTCACACAGCCGAGCAAAGCGGCGTGCACAACCGAGCAAATCCAAGCGCGTGCACAGGCGAGCAAATTCCGCGTGCACACCGAGGCTCCGCCCCGTCCTTGCTCCTAGTAGCGATGCCCTTTGTTACTAGTAGCTTCTTGTGTTAAAAATGCTATTTGCAGGCATGAAGATTCAAGAAGATTCAAAAAGAAAAATCGATTTACAGTGCTTCTTCGACTCTTTGGATTCAATCTTCCAGATGTAAAGCTCTCTGCCCACAGCTAATTACAGTATATAGTAGCTTAAGGGAACTGCTGGCCTCAATGTCAAAAATTCCAATGGCAGCATTTCCGGTTTGCTCCACCAAGGAGGACTGGGTGTAGACCAGCAGAAAAGAGTTCCTTCACAGTTTGGGGCGGACTTTGGGCAAAAAGAACAGCATCGACTTTCCAGCGAAAAATACCCCGACATCCTCTTCTCCGAGACTGGGTGACCCTAGCGCTCCAGGCTCGAAGTTGGGTTCCACCAAGAACTCGTTGGTCCCAACTGCCACGCTGCCCAACTGGCACAGGTCTCGATTCCAAATGTTGACAAATTGCAAGTGCAAAATTGCAAACATCACCAGTGCAAGGGATGTCATCCTATTGATCCTGCCCTCTCAGCAAGTCCATCCCTGCGCCTTGGTCTTAAAGGTACCAGAGCTCACCATGTCGATATAGATCTGAAAGGTGTGCAAAACAACGCAAAGGCGAGGCATGTTTACATTATATTGGCACCAAGTTCCCGCGGCCTGGTAGGATGAGACCAGGGAGGTCGTTCCAGAAACGGTCCTCCACGGCTTCGGATCTACACAATTGGTTTGGTTGATCTTCCTTGCATACTCAAACTCACAGTCTGGACATGTCAAGACTGGTCCAGGTCATGTAGCCACCAATCTCAAAAATGTCTAGATCCTGGTCTGCAAACCTTGCACGCTTCAGAGATCCACATGCTCAAGATTGATGATTCATGATGCATTGATGGATTGGGAAGTGCTTGTGTGGGTTGCAGCATTCAGTCCAAGACAGCACTCCAAAAAGGTGTTTTTCAACCAGGCACATTGGGCCGTTCCTGTAACTTCTATCACATTTTGGGTCCGGCATGTTTGCACTTCACCAAGGCGCGAGATGCTGGTGATGATGGCAACGCTATCAGCAATGCTTATGCTGGCTGCTGTACTCTGCTCGAACGAAGCAGATGATGAGTAGACCCGTATCTGGCAAGACTGATTCTGCGGAGGGCTTTGCTTGGGCAGTTCTGAGCTAGAGATATCAGAGAACCTATCTCTGCCACTGGAATACCAAACTCTGGGTTGGACTCTGCAAAAGCACACGGACCCCGCACCTGTGTGTAAGGATAGCGCATTGTCTCTGTCGGAATGGTGAAGTTCTCATCAGTGCCCTCAGGTGGGAACGACGGCACTGACACATGAGACCTGCGTATGGGATCTGCGACATTTGATGGCATGCGTTGTGCGTGTCCAGAGATCCTGAGACGTCCGCAGTGGCAGTGCTGCCAACCTGGGTCGGATGAAGCACCAGCTACCGGCTAGACCCTGGGCCAAAGGCTTGTTTTGGTATGCAAAGACTCATCTCACAAGATCCCAAAAAGATTTGGCTTGTAGAAACAGCTCTTCCCAGGCGCTTCAGGACGGGGGTTCTGCCAAAGCTTTGCTCGTACGCTTGACTTGAGTTCGTGGCTAGGGAGCGCGAACCAGAGCTAGTGCTCAGGTAAACGGCCTCAGGCTTCCCAGCACTAAAAACGTACGAACCAGTCTTGCGAACAAGCCCAACGAGCAATCAACATTGCCAGGTCTTCCTCACCAAACAACTGGTCTTAAATTTTAGTGGACCACCACTGCAACGCAACACAGGGCTTCTTCCCATTGGCATATTGATTATAAGAATTCTTTGGGATAGGGCGGTGGAGTATCGAGCAGTACTGGGGCGGCACAAGGCCTTCCATTCCTTTGACGATAAACAGGACTGCAATCGATTGCAATGGACAAAAAAATAGACGGATTGTCACAGCCCGTTGTCCACTTACAAAGGGTAGCTTGCAGCTTTGATTCAGGTTCGATGCTTTCTTGTGTTCGTGGGAAGCTTGCTTGTTGGCGATAAGCGAAAACAACGCCAAGCGTCATAGCTCGACACCTGGGTGGTGTCGCTGGGGAGTGTCCACCTTGGCAAACTGTCTGTGACTGTCACGGAATCAAGCAGAATTGGCAAAGTGAAATGAAGTGGCAAAATCTCCGAGAGTCAAACGTCACATCACCTCCAATGTCAAGATTGTCTAAGTCAAGATCTTGAAAGGCCTGGCATGTCATCGTTTCGAGTACATGATTTCTTTGAATGGGAAACAAAAGGGAAAAAGAGAGATTAAGAGAAACTCCGAGGAAGTGAACAAACAATATTGGGACAGCGTTGAAGCAACTGTCAATGCTGTCAGCACTGTTGGTCTAGTGTCATACCTGCACAGGAACAGTGTAGAAGTGCTCATGAATGCCCTGGGGCGTTGCCCGATTTCGTCTTTTTTTACATTTTCTCGACGGGATTCCTCACAACAAGACAGCTTGACGGAATTGGCCCCAAGCCCCCAAGCTGTCAACTTGCTGGATCCACCACTGTCGAAACTGTGGAGTCTGAATCGGAGATGGCCAAGGTCGTTGGAGAAGCCTCGCCGGAGTTGAAAGCCGTCTTGCTGTGCCCGCAACGGCTACGATTGCGTTAGAGTCCTGAATGGAGCTCATTCACCGCACGCGGTGAGTCAGAATAGCTTCCACATGGCCATGATGCATGAGTTCTTCAGATCAAACACAGTGAATGCTAGAGATGATTGCAGCTCAGCAACCACTTGCTGCCGTCAAAACGTTAAAAAGACAAGGTGTGTGTGTGTGTCCATCGTTGTCAGAATAATGTACAGAAAGCCCCACTTCCAGATTCCTCTTCACGGGATCCTCAACGTGAAACTGTTGGCATCAAAGCACTACTGCACTTGTAACAAGGGCTACGGCTACGGCTACGGGTGTCTGCAATCTTGTTGCCACAAAGGGTCATTCCATGAGCTCCCGTGTGTGCCTGCTGGCCGTTCCCATTGGCAGTGTAAACAAGGACGTGGGAGTACCTGGAGGACATGGCTGCAAAAAGAAAGCAAACTACAATGAACCCACGCTGCAAATGGCAAAGCCTCCAATTGACCCTTCTTTAAGATCTGCTACTCAGCTTCTTTCAAGCTCGCCTGGCTCGAATTGAAATTGGACCGAACCGGACGACCTCAAAAAGTGATGCCACACCACGAATCTTCGCTTTGGGCAAGCTCGGCAACCAGCGCACTGGCCCAAAAACAGAAGTCGAAGAAGAAAGTATACACGTCAAGAAAGCCGAGAAATGAAAAAGCAATGTCAAAATGCGGAAAAAAGGTCAGGTAGCAATCCAATTGGAACGACAAGACAATGGGGCACGAGCCCAACGCTGTATTCTCGGAGAGGGAAGCTTCATTGGTCCCCACAGCAACACCCAAGCTGACCTGGGGCATCAGCAAAATTCCTTAACGGTTCGTGTGACACCATCAACTCTCTGTACAGCGATGTGTTCTAATAAACGAACGGGATGAACAGTTGCTTTGGGTTCCCAGGCAGATGAACGGGATGTGCCGGCCGCATCAGTGGCAACATAAACATCGTAGTGAGTGACCTGACAGCTGACAGCTAGCACACGCTAGCACCCCTTGCAAGTTAGAATGATCAAAGACTGAAAAACCACAGAAAGAAAGCAATGCAAATGCACAGCACCTTCTTATGGATGTGTCTGTCTCACTCTGGCCGCCTGGCCCTTGCCCCAACGTGTCTCAAATGTTCAACAAACTCGAAGTGCTCCATTCCGGGTGCTCTGGCTGTTGCCACACTTCCAGGAGGCTGCCATGTTACAGAGCCACCAATTTCAGCTGCATCCAGGTCCTTTCGCCGCACATCTTTGGAAGAAAGAACCCGTTGTCAAAGTCGCGTGCTGCAGCACATCAACGTTGGATAGTATAAAACAGCATTCAGCATTCCACAATCACACATTCACTGTGTGAGCTTGGGTGTGCCTGATCTGGAAAGCTGAGAGATGTGACACTGACAGTTGGGACTTGTGCAGGCGCTGGCAGGAAAATAACCTGGCGAGGCAAAAAGCTAAAGTAACAAATGCCTTCCCAGCACTATTGTGCTGCTAAAGATCAAAATCCGCAACAGGTTGCTTATAATGACTGCTTGACTGTGCTTTTGGTACAGTGAATTCAACAAAGCATGATCCGGAATGATCCGTCTCTTCAACAGACGTCGAGACGAGAAGACGAGCGAAATGGGCAAAACCGGTGAGTGTAGCATAAGCAAATGGTGACTAGCAATACGACCCCAGTACTACAGAGTACCTTCATCTCGGAACACCCCAACAAGTGTAGACAACAGGAGCTGACATCAGAGCATTTCACAAACATGTCAGATTGACACAGAGGAGCACGGAAAAATGCCAAATGCCGTGCACCTTGTGGCAAGGCAATACATGTTGGAAACCTGACATCCTGTGACACAGGAGCAAACATGTCAATCTGTAAAACGAGAGTGTCTGAGCGAGACGAGGTACCCCAGCCAGGCAACAAGTCATCGGCCATGACCACTGGAGCCAAAAACATCACATGGTGAATGCCAAGGAATTTGTCCTTCGCTTCCTCATTGTTCAACACTTCTAAGAGACGCTACTAGGGGCTTCTGGCCTTACTACGCTCCACCACTCCACGGACAGGGCGAACCCTGATTGACCAGAAGAGTCACTTCAGCTACTTTAGTTGTTCTGTTGTCACGTCAATGAGAAAGTGCGTTCTCGCAAGACTTGACATGTGAGGCTACATGATGCAATAAATAATCCAACAGCAAAGGCAAAGAAGGCTTGGCACACCTTGAGTCTACAAATGATTCCCTTGGAAGCCAAGGACACCAGTGAGTTCGGTAGCACGACCCGCACCTCAGAAGCAGCAAGTAAGCACTCAGGCACAAAACCGCTTGGAGTGATTCACGGCGTCTGTATGATCGATCCTGTATATAAGCGCTGTAAGCCAGGGAAGAGCCTGACTGTAAAGCTGTGGAACACAAAAATAACATTGACTTATGATCTTATGATTCGTACTCTCCAAACCACAAAGAACTATTTACAGCGCTCACAGGGAAAGTATTCTATCTCTCGAACGGATCCGAGATGTTCTCAGCGCTCCTGCGTCCAGTCGTCCAGTCCGTTCGACTCTGGGCGTCCGTGCCAAGCCAGCGTTCTCTGGCGCCCAAGTCTCACCCTGTCGCACCAGCGCGAACTGAGTCTTCACACTCGCCTCCCGTTGCGAGTCTTGTCGGACAAATTGGAGCAAAAAAAACGCGTTCTCATCTGACGTCCGGTGCTTGCCCTCAATGGCTGAATATATTCACTCATGCGACAATCTCCAGCACTGTGCAGCATATGCTTGCTACATGCCCTGTGACCGTATCCTCCTTGGACTTGTCCACGCGCTTTTCAGCATCCAAGGTGCCAAAGCGGAAGCCAATCATGAGTCTGAAGCGGGCAACGAAGAATTCTCTACATTCAAAATCGGATTGTTGAATATTCGATACCAGTTGGTCTCTGACAGTCTTATTCATAATCACAGCTTTCTTCAACATGCGTTTGTCTCATGAGTAACAAGTATATGTACCGGTCACGTGTTGAATGTTCACGTTGGACACAGGCGCAACACACAGATATTTCTCACCAATCACGGAGGTAGAGCTCCCACAGTGATGACACCGACGAGGGGTCGACCCAAAGGAATATGACTTGGCGACACCGCCCGCTCCATGAAAGCATGCGACTCGCCGATTCCCATATCCAACCGGCAACTCAACACGCAAAACACCCAAATCGGACCTTGAAGTCCCAATGTCTGGCAACCCCTCGACGCTCCTGAGGGGCTCTAAGAGGGACAGGCATAGCTTACAAGTCAATTTGTGTGATATCTCCGGAGATCGACCAGAATAGAACTATATACAAAATTATACTGTATATATATATATTACACATGCCATAGGACATCTAGCCTTTGTGCACTCCGACATGTCTTTGAGCAGTTTGCTCTTGTTGGACGCCCAGAGATGTGAACAGCATCCCAGCCACCGGCCTAGAACCTCTGAACCTGCTACCATGGTCTGCTTATCGACAAGGTCGCAACAAATTCCTCCGGACGCAGCTGCAAAGCCATTTTTGCTCCACGAACTACCTCCACCCTAGCATTTCACTTGGCCAGGCGAATCAACGGAGGCAAGAGCAGCAACAGCCTGACGGCTTTGTGACGGATTTGCCGGAACTCTTCAACTTTCCAACTTTCTCAGCGCGAATTCTCTCCAAAGCTTTGCTACCAGCATGCTAGATCCTGTTCCACTAATCAACACGACAAGTCTCAAAATTTGCTGCCGGAGCACTGCAACAAGAGAAAGGACTGTCTTTATTGCTATGGACTATTTGGCTAGTGAACACTCTTGAGAGACCACATTCGCAATCATTCTCGCTCAAACGTTTCTGCGCCTTTAGGACCTGTTCGCATTTAGCAAGCTCAGAAACTGCGGGACAAAGTCTAGCACCTCCAGGACAAGAGCCAACAAGGTCAAGAGTCAAGAGATGCCAACCAGTGATAGCCAACACACCTGCTTTTTGCCTCACAACACAACTGTCCTCGCTTATCGCAGCCTCTGCGGTACCGTCGAAGCGCTTCGACAAGTGCCTGGGGCCGGGTGCAACTTCGGTGGCAAAAAAATTAGACAAGGCAAGGACAAGAAAATTGCAAGGCTTTGGCCAAAGCCCGAACATTCAAGTAAGGACCGAAAGAGCCAGTACTGAGCCGTACTGCTAGTTTCTACGAACGTGCAAATACAGTAACGGCTTATTGCTCCCTTTGGATGGTTTAGGTCTTGCAATTGTTGGGAACTTGCAATGTCAATCCCAGCCATTCTTGCAACGTGCAAACGCTCCTACTGGAGTGGCCAAGAGGCTTTGAGAGAAGGCTCCGGTCTACGGGCAACAAAGCATCTCTCAATCGCACCGCATGTTCCCGATCACCGAGTTGGTAAGCACCTCAGACGAGAATATCCAGGCAAAATCCAGCGCGATTAGTACGGCAGAGCTTCATTTTGGGCAAGACGCGTTTGGCCGATCTACTGCATGCTGTCCATACTGTGTCCCCCGCAAACCATTTCCACCACAGCAGCAGGGACTAGCCAGCATTCCGCGGGCAGCTCCTCCTGTGCAAACGTAGTCTGGTTTCGATGATCTGTGATGCTTTTGGAAAAACACGCACACCACCAACAAATGTCTCTGCTAAATTGCGCAAGGTCAGGAATTGTCACAGAACATAACATCAGCGCGCAGCTAGAACAATGTGAAATGACTTGCGCTGATGATGTTTGTAGCCCTTGGTGCATGAATCAAGCCAGGGAGAGGGATCAACTCTTTCCGCTAGGAGCAAAGGCGAGGCGTGGCTCTTTTGTTCAATCATTGGCTTCTGTTCACCGATGTGCCCATTTGCTGCCTTTTCTGGGCTGAACCTTCTGACACATGAGTCGTGAACACCAACATTGGGCCTGGTCCACATCAGTGCTGGGCGCTGTCTCTGGCAGCTCAGGCACCTTGCCAGAAGAGGTAGGCAGTCCACAAAGAAAGATCAAGTCTTGAGATGCTTTCAGGTCCGTGGTTTGATCCGTTTCTGTTCCTACCGGTTTTATCCGTTTCCTCGTGTGCACCGGCCCGGCCTCCTCCTCCACTCCCACGGAGAAACGTAATGCCAATGCACACAGCAAGGCCTCAAGGCCCGATGTGCGAAAAGGAAAGCGTACTAAGCCAGTAGTACGTAGCAAGAAGGGAAGCGCTCTTTTTTGGAGCAAGAAGCTACTAGGTTGGAGGCCATCGCTACTAGGGTGGAGGCACCGGTAGCAACAAGCTACTAGTAACAAGGGCTAGTTGCAGCTCAACAGGAGCATTACAGACCCAAGATTGTGCTCGAGGACGCTGGAAACCTGTTTGGAACCTAAAGCGAAAGCCAAAAGAGCAAACCGAAATTGTATGACCAGAGCAGTGACAAGCCAGAGATCGCCTCTTCCCAGCTTTTGTTGGTTTACTTTTCTGGACTCTTCTTGGCATGTTTCAGTTGTGCTCGGAAGAGGGCCATGGCTCGAGTTTGGGCAGGTCTGCGATTGAATTTCTTTGCTTCTTTGAGAACATCTTTTGGATTTCATGCTTGCTGCCCATTTTGTTTGCTGCTCTTTTTGGTTTACAAGGTTTGCATACCTTGGACATGCCCCTGGAACTGGCCTCATGGTGTTGACGCCCACGCAGGCGCAGTTCGGCCTGGTTCAAGCCCAACCAAACAAGGTCATCAACAGCCAATTGGGTGGTGAGAAGAGTCATGTGGAGCAGAACAAAGAAAAACTGAGTACATGTAGAGTATTTGTGCTGCATAGCACTGAAACGAGACCAGTATCTCACTGTGGCAATCATGTCTTGCTCTTGGAAATCCAAGATTTGACGGATCAAGACTCCAGTTCAATTTATATAGTGGGCAATCTTTCATGACACACGGTGTCCTTTTAACACACGTCTAAATCATTGAACTCTCTTGGAAACATCTGACGGAAGAAGGTGATACATTGCTAAAAAGTTAGGAAGTTTGGTGGTTCTCTTGAAGCAAATACTTCAAGGTGCCACACGCTAAGCACATGATTCTGAACCGTGTCTGCGTGTCCAAGATCTTAACGATAATAATGACACTAGGTCTTGACTCAACAAATGATCGGTGCGGGAACGCCATGCCTCTGCCTATGCAAATGTCAATGTATTTCTCTGTGAACTTCTGTGACTGCATGATACTTTCAAGTTGATCATGAGCATGGGTCCATGCTTCCATATAGATTATTTGTGTACTTGTCCAACACTGGCCCTGCGGCAACGGCCGTTGGTGTCCAAACCTCTAAGAGCAGTCGTCGTGGCAGTGTCTTTGCCGCAAAAGGCGATGTGGTGCATCGTCGCAGCAAGAGTTGCCATGCCTCCCATGGCGTCTCGAAAAGCATCACCCCAATGCATGTGCAACACAGAATGAACTGAATTGATTTTTGTCTATTCTGTGTTCGTTCGACACATGATAAACATCATATGCACCGTAATTGAACATCTGTTCTTCTTCCACCGAGGCCGAAAGCTTCGGCTCAACAGCGGCGAGACGACGTGAGCGACCCTTCCGCCTTGTCGTGAAGGTCGGTGAAATCCAATCGCTCGGACTCTTCGAGGCCTGGGCGACGTTTTGGAGGCCATCGCTATTTAGGATGGAGGCCATCGCCAGTAGGTTGGAAGCCATTGCTACAATAGAATACATCAGTCAATAAACCATAGATGTTCCACTAGCATTCAGTACTTGAGTTATTGAAAAAATGTTCATAGTATGTCATACTACCTCTTCAGTCCAAGCACTCATGTGATACGGAGTTCTCCTCGCTTGGCCCTCTCTTTGCTCAATGAAGTTCCCTTAAATCGTTTAATTAAACTTAATTAAAGTTGTCAAATACACGCTGTGCATTTAGGCGGCAGCAGTTCTGAGAACTTTGACAGACCAACCCCTTCCGTAGAGGGAGGGCTCGAAACGCCAAAAGCTTGGCATGCGGCCGCGACGACGTCCGTCGTCCCCAATTCGCTTGCGACACGTTCTTTGTGTCCTGTTCTCGTGGGCCTCGTCTACCACGGGAATCTTCGCATTGGTAGCGGAGCCCAAACCCGATTTGGGGGAGGGCTCCAGCTGCGCACTTCGCATCTCCGAGCAGAAGGCTTGGGACAAGGTCTTTGGTGGCCTCTCGCTGCCGGTTTCTTTCGGATCCTGTTGGTGGAGCACCTGGCTGAAGACCCTGAGGGGAGGATCCCTGTGGCACTCACCGCCTCGGTGGATGTCGCATCAAAGAAGGCAGCAACAGAAGAAGCCACAGGCCGCTCAACCGGCCTCCAGCTCGATGACTACACCCAAGGAGGATTCCGGTTACCTCGACCTCAGAGACTCCTACGCGCCGATCTTCACTGGCCAACCTGCTGATTACCGGGAATGGCGTCAGCGCATCCAGATTTATCACCGCAAAATGTCACTCTCAAAGCGTGCGAACGAGAGTGCGCTGAACATCGTTGGCTCCTTCCGCGGAGTGGTTTGGCGACTCTTCGAAGATTGGAGCCTCGAAAAGTTCGAGAAGGATGACTCCTTCGAGAAGGTCTTGGAGGTCTTGGACGGCAACTTCGCCTATGACCAAAGGGTTCAACTGCCCAATGATTTCGAGAACTACTTCAACTTGTTGCAGAGAGCACCCGGGCAGACCCTCCTGGCCTTCGTGAATGAGCATGAAGAAGCCTACCGAAGGTTGCTTCAACATAAAGTTGCTCTTCCAGACAGCGTTCAAGGCTGGCATCTTCTTCGCCGCTGTGCACTCTCCAAGGAGCAAAGGCAGCTCCTCATGCTGAAGGCTCCGACACTGGAGAAACAGCAGGTGATCAATGGAACCATGAGAGGAACAAGCGCTTCCAACGCTGGCCAAACCGGGCCTATGCTGCTCAAGATGATTGGGACAAGGATCCTGATGACCAGTGGGCCGAAGAGGAGACGGGCTACTATGAAGATGATGATTGGGGGTATGGTGACTCCTATGAGGACGATGCCGCCTTCGACGATGAAGCCGGCTACTTCGGCGATGAACCCTGGCCCGAAAGTTCCAATGAAACAGCAAGTCCAGAGCAGCTTGCCGATGAGTTTGACTCAGCCTACGCCAGCTACACCGACGCTCGAAAGCGCTTCAACGACCTCAAGATGTCTCGTGGGTTCTTACCGGTTGTTGCCCTGGCCGACCAACAGACTCCCATGCCGGTTGGTGCTTCAGCCTCATCATCCACTAGCAGTCCAACGTCCTGGCAGCGCAAGGGGAAGGGCAAAGGTGGAAAGTCCAAAGGAAAGAACAAGAGCAACACCATCCGCTACCCTCCATCCACTGGAGGCAAAAGTGATCCGAAGGGTCGTGCACGTGCCAATACGACGTGTCTACGTTGTGGTCAACAAGGACACTGGGCAGCCAATTGCCCACAGAACTCTTCACCGAAGTCCAGTGACACCAAGCGGCCAGCTCCTACCGAAGGTATGGCCCACATTTCGACCTCTGAAGATGCCATGATCATCTTTCAGGACCACACCGGAGCTGAACGACCAGAGTGCGTGATGCTTGACCCAGGTGCCTCGGCCTTTCTTTCTGGCTATGGACCGTTCCGGAGGTACCTTCAACACCTTCGCCAAGACTGTGGCTTCCCGCTCGATCAGATCACCTTGACAAAAGGGAAGCGACGCTTCTTCCGGTGTTCCTGGACGGGCGCTATGGCACCATTCAGATGTTCCTCCTGCCGGGAAACACCCCCATGCTCTGTGGACGCCCCATCATTGAGGCCATGGGCATGACTATGGACTTCGCCATGCGGCGCATTTGCATCGGCTCCTCTGGTTGGCAGGAGGCTACTCTCGGCCGACAAGGCGAATATCTGCTGTCGCTGACGGCTGATCATGACTTCATCCAGTACGATCCGCAGAACCCTGACTTCAGCCTCAAGACAGCCGACGCCGACATGGAGCAGGTGGATGGCTTTCGCCTCACTGACTTCGAGCAGGCGGAACATGGGTTTGCCGTCCTATCCACCTTGAAGGACGACGAGATCAAGGAGGAACAGCTGTCTAACACCTTGAGGCAGCATTCATTGCAAACAATGGACATCTAGCTTCGAACCCACCTCAATGACATGTCCGCCTACCTGACCCGACAACTACATGGCCGAGCGGAAGATCAGAAGAGGGTCTTGTGGGAAGTGTACTGCGGCTCTGCACGCACTTCGCAAGTGGCAGAATCCCTGGGCATGTCTGTGAGACGTTTTGGTCTCGACACCGGCTGGAACTTCGAACTTCTTGCACATCAAGCTGAGTTTCTCCGTCTTCAAGAAGAGGAGCTCCCAGATGAGGTACTGCTGGCGCCCGAGTGCAAGCTTTGGAGCCGGATGCAAACACTGGCTCGTCGAACTGTTCACCAACAAGAAGCATTGATCGCCGCCAGACAGCACCATCATGACCGACACTTGGTCTTTGTTCGCAAGGTCTACATGAACCAAGTCTCTGGAGGACGCCATGGACACATCGAGCAGCCGAAGCATGCTCTTTCCTGGTCGACTCGAGCTCTTCGTGACCTACCCGGCTACAGGGCTGACTTTGATCAATGCCGCTATGGAGCAGCCTGCTTGGACGAAGATCTCCAATGGCGCCCTGTGAAGAAGAGCACGACTCTCTTAACGACCAAGAAGGCCATGCAGAATGCCATGACGCTCACTTGCCGAGGAGACCATGAACACTGTGCCCTCGAAGGGAGCGCCTCTGGCTACGGACCTCGCACTCGCTATTTGGAGGACTACCAACCAGCCTTGGCTTCCACTCTGGCTTCTGCCATCCTTCTTGATGAACCACCTCAGTTCTGGGAAGCCGGCTACGCCTCCAACGAGCAGCGGACCGTGACCTCCACTCTGGTCAAGCTTCGTTCCGACGCCCGGCAACAGGCGATTTGCATCGTGCAGAAGCTGCACCGCAACTTGGGACACCCTTCAACCAAGGAGCTCACCGAACTGCTGCAGACGCGGGGAGAGTCTGAAGAAGTCCTGAAGGCGGCCCAATCCTATGTGTGCGCGGCCTGTGCAAAGTACAAGAAGCCGGCCGAGGCCGCTCCAGCTTCCTTGCAGTCGACGACCTTCAACCAGCAGCTTCAGGCAGACATCTTCTGGCTTCGCCGTGGCACTATCAAGTATGCCATCTTGAGCGTAGTTGACACTGCCACCAGGTACACGGCCGCCCGACTGGTCGGCTCCGAACAATCCACCGAGCTGATCAAGGCCCTTGAACGAGGTTGGATTGCCCACTTTGGGCCCCCACAGCAACTGGTCACTGATGAAGGGCGAGCCTGGCTTGGCCATGACTTCGAAAACTGGACAAGCGTCCATGGTGTTGAACACATTGTGGCACCAGCTGGTGAAGCTCATGAACGCCTGGCCATCGTTGAGAGGCGACATGCCGTGCTTCGCAAGGCCGTTGAGATCTACCTCGATGACCTCAAGCTCGACCATGCCGACGGCATTCGTGAGGCGCTGACCTACTACTGCATTCCTCAGCTCAACAGTACCCCAAGCGTTGCTGGCTTCTCCCCATCGCAATGGGTGCTGGGATATCAACCTGAACTGGCCGGCAGCTTGCTATCCACCTCCAACTTCAGGGCTTCCCATGTCGGTGGACACCCGCGCTTTGAAGAGACCCTCAACAAACGGGCGGCAGCTCAAAAGGCGCTGATAGACGCCGATGCTGACCGTCGCCTTCGATGTGCCCTTGGGGCCAAGTACAAGGGCCTGAATTCAGAATACCAGATGTGGTTTTGGCGTGACGCCAAACAGCCCGATCTGGTCAAGATCAGGTGGCTTGGCCCAGCTCACGTCGTCATGAAGGAGTACAAGAAGGAGGGTGATGATCAAAGGGTCAATGTCTACTGGCTGGCTAAAAAATGCTCAATATATTATATCTATTATTACAGTCTCAGCTGATTCGTTGTGCCCCCCATCACGTCCGAGCAGATGTCAAGAACACCGGGCACATCCTCGATGACGTCCAGAAGGCTTTGAACACCGTGAGATCTCTCAAGTCCAGAGGCGTCACGAGGTTCTATGACCTTCACCGCCTGAATCGCCAAGAGCTGATGGATGCGGAAGTGGATGAACACACCCAGTCCACTGATGGTGAGCTGATGGATGATTCTGATCATGAGATGTCGCCACCTCGACAGAGACCACGACTGTTGCCACCTGCACCTGTGACTACGGCCATGCCCGACGAGAGTATGGAAGAATCCGCCGACCCCGGCTGAAGGAGGGGGAGCGCGCGAGGGATTACAGGTGCGGGAGCCTTGCGCTTCTTCGTCTCAGCACGAACCTGCAGGCAACAGACGCTTCCACTGCTCGATGCTGCTCGAACACATGCATCACTGGAGCCGCAACCT